AGTAAACTTAAAAGTAGCAATAGAAAACTAGAAGAACTACTAGAAAACACAGTGAACTGAAAGAGTTAGAGTTTTATTAAAAATACTTGTGTCCCCCCCACCTCTGAAATCAAAATTTCGTCCTTGGTTGGTAGTTTAATCCTCAGTAAGTCCAGTGGTTTTGTAATGAGTGTGTTGTGGGAATAGGGTTTTCTTCAGTTACAAATGGCCCAATCTGCCTGATTGAACATGCATTTTTGTTGTTTAGTTGAATATTTTAAATAAAGTTTTTTTGTGTGTGTCTAGCAAAGAATACGGTTATAAATCAGACTCAGACCAGCCAGTGTCTTGTGCAGAGACTTCACCGCTGCCAAGGGGTTTCCTCGTTGTTTCCACCCTCTAAGTACCCCTCCCCCCCATAGGGCCCCAGCCAGCCACCTGAGTCGATTTGATGATGATTATTGACATTTCATATCGGCTACAATGGATTCATGTAGTTTGGATTGGATACAAACTGAAAACATCAAAGGTAAGTTGTTTAACATTCATTATTTGCAATGTTTGCTGCTGCCTGTAGACCGCCGTGTCTGCTTGGTTACAGTAACAGGCCGGACATTGCTTGCACACTTCTGTGGGTTGTTTATGTGGCTTGATTGTGTGTGCTATATGGCTGTGTGTCTGTATGGGCATCCAAAAAAAAGTGACTGACTTTCTGACTTTCTGTTTCTGAAATATTACTTACTGGCGCTTAGAGATCCCTTCCAGACATGTATGAAGACATATATACAAATAGTCTGCTTGGTAATGTGTTTTTTTTTCTGCAAACAAATATAATTTCTACATTTAACTCCTTAAAAATGGCATCTACTCCTTCTACCTCCATAGCCAGAATCCAGAATCTATGAATATGCAAGTTTGCTGGACACAAGATGTGTCAGTGTATGTGCACTTGTTGTTTTCAACTTTCTACAGCACACTTGTATAAGTTGCATACTGGATCAGGACCAAAATCTGGACAGATTCAGATTCTGCACAGTGAAGCTCAAACATCCAACTGTAGGAACAAGAAGAAAAACAGGTTTCTGAGTGGAGGGGAACTATAAACATCAGCAGGTTGCTGTTAATGATAAATCCATGACACTGTTTATGGTGGTAAAATAACACACGTCATTGTAATCCGCATTTTTCTCCATGCTGCATGTTCTTGTTGCACTTACATTGCTGATCACTTATATTACTGACTTGAGTCCTTTCTGTAGCAACCAATGTGTTCAGCTCTGACCTGTGGCTGCGTGTAATCCCCTCTCTTTTCCCCCCCTTTTCTTGTCACTCTTAAGCTGTTCCTGTAAATTAAAGGCAATAAAAGCCCCTAAAATATATATATATATAAAAGTCACATGCAAATAGACATTTTGAAATGTCTTTAGATGTTTTCTTAAGTTGCAGTGCGTTTGCCCTTGTGAG